CCCATCCAAAAGCAGCCGCTCGAAAAATGTGTGCTGACCGTAGGGTGTTTTCTCTTCCTTCTCCCACTCTTTGGCTTCTTTCTTCCATCCTCCTCTCCTTCTCCTCGTCCTCGTTGCTCCTTCTCTTCGTCGTCCTCCTCCTCCTCCTCCTGGCGTTGCCGTGCGATCTTGGGGCTCTCTTGGGATTTCAGGGAATCGTGGCCCTGGGGCTCTCTTGGGGCTCCTTTGGGGGTCTTGAAACCCTCTCGGGGCTCTTTGTGGGAGTTTGGGAGGTCTCTTGGGGCCATCTTGGAGGCCATCGGGCAAAGAAGGAGAGAGCATGTATTAGTGTACCCCCGTCGGGGCCCGAAATATCGCCTCTTGGAGCCCTCTTGGGCCGCTCTTGGGCGCCTGTTGGGCGCTCTTGGGCCGTCTTGGGGCCCTCTTGGGCCGTATTGGCCGCCTCTTGGGCCGTCTTGGGGCCTTCTTGGGCCGTCTTGGAGCCGTCTTGGGAGCCTCTTGGGCTGTCTTGGGGCGGTCTTGCGGGCCTTTTGGGCTGTCTTGGAGCGTCGGGAAGCCGAAAGGGCGGGAACGCTAAAATGTTTGAAATACTTAAGGCAAACATATGATTTTGGCCTCGTGGGGCCCTCTTAGGGCGCTTCTCGGGGCTCTCTTGGAGCGTTTTGGGGGCCTCTTGGGCCGTCTTGGCCTCTCGGGGGCGTCCTTGGGAGGTTCCGCGGCCACTTGTAGCCGTCTTGGGGCGGTCTTGTAGCCTCTTGGGGCTCTCTTGGGCCGCTCTTGGGCGCCTCTTGGGCGCTCTTGGGGCCGTCTTGGGGCCCTCTTGGGCAGTATTGGCCGCCGCTTGGGCCGTCTTGGGGCCCTCTTGGGCGGTCTTGGAGCCGTCTTGGGAGCCTATTGTGCCGTCTTGGGGCGGTCTTGCATGCCTTTTGGGCTGTCTTGGAGCGTCGGGAAGCCGAAAGGGCGGGAACGCTAAAATGTTTGAAACGCCCACGGAAAATCAATGGTTCTTGCTTCTTGGGGCCCTCTTAGGGCGCCTCTCGGGGCTCTCTTGGAGCGTCTTGGGGACCTCTTGGGCCGTCTTAGCTTCTCGGGGGCGTCCTCGGGAGGCTCCGCGGCCACTTGGAGCCGTGTTGTGGCCGTTCTTGGGCGCCACTTGGGCGCTCTTGGGGCCGTCTTGGGGCCCTCTTGGGCCGTACTGGCCGCCGCTTGGGCCGTCTTGGGCCGTCTTGGAGCCGTCTTGGGAGCGCTCTTGGGGGCCTTGGGAGCCCGCGTGTGTCGTAGCCGGCGCCGCTGTTTAGGCGGCGGCGCGCCCGATTTGTTAATGAGATTTTAGCTGCTGTTCAGCTTGTGTGTGTGGGGGGCTTTGGGAGCGCTCTTGGGGCCATCTTGGAGGAGATCGGCCAAAGAAGACGAAAGCACTTATTTGCCCCCCCTGGGGCCACGATCCTTGTGAGGGGTGTCAGAAATGAGCCGCCCAGGGACCGACAAAGGACGCCCAGGCGACCCGCGGCCCCGCCTCTCCAGGCCCAGGGGGAGGGGGTAGGGGGAGGGGTCAAGACCCCCTCCCCGCCCGCAAGACGTCTCGCTCACTCCCACCCGCCCTCCCAACACATACGTAGCACCCGAGTCTGGCCCGAGGCTGAGCATATTCAGCAGTCGTCTTTGGATGGGCAGCTACTGGGGACCAATCCGCCGCCGCCGCCGCCGCCTCCGCCGCCGCCGCCGCCGCCGCCGCGCCGCCGCCGCCGCCCTGCCGCGCCGCCGCCGCCGCGCCGCCGCCGCCTGCCGCCGCCGCCGCAGCCGCCACCGCCGCCGCCGCCGCCGCCGCCGCCGCCGCCGCCCCCTGCTGCCAAACCGCCGCCGCCGCCGCAGCCGCTGCCGCCACCGCCACCGCCACCGCCGCCGCCCCCCGCCGCCGCCGCCGCCGCCCCGCCGCCGCCGCCGCATGCCGCCGCGCCGCCGGCCGCCGCCGCCGCAGCCGCCGCCGCCGCCGCAGCCGCCGCAGCCGCCGCCGCCGCCGCCAAGTGTACTATGTATTGTTTTTGTTGACAGGGATGGTGGGGGGGGGGCGCATCGGGTTGGCTGCGCATGTTCCGAATTTGGAGGCAGAGTGTGGTTGGCATTGTTTTTTACAAGGAATGGTGTGGGGGGGTCGTCATGGACCCTGGTTGGCCCCCAGTCGCCTGGGGGAGGGGGTGTTTATTAATAGGGAACAGTGATAAACCCCTCCCCGACGGGAAAGAAGGGGGTTGAGAACAGAGAGGACTATCTAAACCACTCACGCACTAAAGGGCTGGTGGGATTATGCAGTCGATCTCCTACTCGACTTTTGTGAACTTCAAGAGGCCCCGACAGGGGGCCTTCTGCCGCCAAAAAAGGGGCCAGGAAATGCGCACGCTTCATCGCCCCTCCGTTTTTACAGCGGGGGCCCATGCCAAGAAACACCCTGCTTGCCTCCAGGGTGCCTTGGGTTTCGATGGTTTTGCGATGGAGAGCGTGCCGCTCCCACACCAAAAATCCATGGACGTCCTGGGGTCTCAGGGTTGTGTTTCTTGCGGAAGGTTTCTTGCTGTCGAGCCCCTATTGTAGACTGTCCCCGCCCGCGGCGCCCCGCTGCCGAGGAGGCGGACGCCCTATGGGCCGTGGGCGTGGGCTGGCGCGCGGAGGAGGCGGGGGACCCCAGGCACGGCCGCCAGCGGCGGCGCGGGCGGCGGGCGGCGGGAGAGGCTGCCACTCATCAACAGAACAACGGTGCTCGTCGATCGGCGAAAAACGGCACCCGCCTCCTCCTCCTCCTCCTCCTCCTCCTCCTCCTCTTCCTCCTCCTCCTCTTCCTCCTCCGCCTCCTCCTCCGCCTCCTCCTCCTCCTCCTCCTCCTCCTCCTCTCCCCTCCCCCTCCCCCTCCCCTTCCTCCTCCTCCCCTCCTCCTCCTCCTCCTCCTCCTCTTCCTCCTCCTCCTTCTCCTCCTCCTCCTCCTCCTCCTCCTCATCCTCCATCCTCCTCCTCCTCCTCCTCCTCCTCCTCCTCCTCCTCCCTCCGTGGCCAGTTTGGCGCAAGAGCTACCTGCAAGGCGGCTACGTTGCACGCCGCGCTCGCGGTTTCTCTTGTGCGACTGGCGACGGCTGGCCCCGAGTGCTCGCGACAGTGATCTGGCTTTTCTGCTGTATCCAAGGGCTCCCACGAGGGCACGAAGTTAGTCGCGCTTCGCGCTTCGCGGGCCTCATTCCTCCTCCCCCTCCTCATCGTCCTCCTCTTCTCCCCTTTGGGGGCGGCGCGAGAGCGCGAAGTTGTTCGCGCTTCGCGCAGCGCGAAGCGCGAAGTTGGGTGCCCTTGTGTATCCTACCACCTTTGCGTGATGCTGATATGCCTGGTGTGCGGTCTTACGTGGACGCGCCTGCACTGGGCAAAGCTTTGTCTACCTTTCAGTCTCGCCTCCTTGAGCGGGATGCGTGGGATCGAGCGGCGCACCCCCGGCCTGGCAAGCGCTTCGCGGAGGTCTGGGAGCATGACCGCCATGACCTGCGCATGATGGTCAAGGGCAAAGAGCTCCACGGGAAGCCGGACGCTACCGCCATTGCGCCTGCGGCGTCTGGGAAGGTCGCGGCCTACTGCGCCTGGAGAGATTGGCGCCTCACACGGGGCAAGCACAAGCAAGCGAGGGGAGTTCTCGTACGCGCTGATCGCGGTAAACACATCCACACGGCGCTGGCGTCATTGCTAGACACCAAACGAACGGCATGGGCCGACATTCATGATGGAGTTGACGATGGTGTGGACGCTCTGGCACCTGCCTCCCAACATGGCCATGACCGTGACCCTCCAAGTGAGGAAGCCTAGGCTGTGGTGCTTGTTTTTCACCATCGTGCACCAGCAGACCTTTTGTGAACGGCCTGGACGAGCCCCGCCCCGAGCGGGAGTAATAGCTGCCAACGACAAGGCGGTACTCACCAACGATGCTGTCGAGCAGACGGAATCGGCGCCGGACTCGATCGACACGCTCATCCCGTATTTGGCCCAGCTCATGACTTCGCTGGATGCAGTTCTTGACAGGTAGGTTATTCCCTTCATGTTCTGCAACGACCTGGTTATTCCCTTCATGTTCAGTTCATGTTCTGACAGGTAGGTTATTCCCTTCTTCAGGTGGGTTTCGATGGTTTTGCGATGGAGAGCGTGCCGCTCCCACACCAAAAATCCATGGACGTCCTGGGGTCTCAGGGTTGTGTTTCTTGCGGAAGGTTTCTTGCTGTCGAGCCCCTATTGTAGACTGTCCCCGCCCGCGGCGCCTCGCTGCCGAGGAGGCGGACGCCCTATGGGCCGTGGGCGTGGGCTGGCGCGCGGAGGAGGCGGGGGACCCCAGGCACGGCCGCCAGCGGCGGCGCGGGCGGCGGGCGGCGGGAGAGGCTGCCACTCATCAACAGAACAACGGTGCTCGTCGATCGGCGAAAAACGGCACCCGCCTCCTCCTCCTCCTCCTCCTCCTCCTCCTCCTCTTCCTCCTCCTCCTCTTCCTCCTCCGCCTCCTCCTCCGCCTCCTCCTCCTCCTCCTCCTCCTCCTCCCCCTCCCCCTCCCCCTCCCCTTCCTCCTCCTCCTCCTCCTCCTCCTCATCCTCCTCCTCCTTCTCCTCCTCCTTCTCCTCCTCCTCCTCCTCCTCCTCCTCCTCCTCCTCCTCCCTCCGTGGCCAGTTTGGCGCAAGAGCTACCTGCAAGGCGGCTACGTTGCACGCCGCGCTCGCGGTTTCTCTTGTGCGACTGGCGACGGCTGGCCCCGAGTGCTCGCGACAGTGATCTGGCTTTTCTGCTGTATCCAAGGGCTCCCACGAGGGCACGAAGTTAGTCGCGCTTCGCGCTTCGCGGGCCTCATTCCTCCTCCCCCTCCTCATCGTCCTCCTCTTCTCCCCTTTGGGGGCGGCGCGAGAGCGCGAAGTTGTTCGCGCTTCGCGCAGCGCGAAGCGCGAAGTTGGGTGCCCTTGTGTATCCTACCACCTTTGCGTGATGCTGATATGCCTGGTGTGCGGTCTTACGTGGACGCGCCTGCACTGGGCAAAGCTCTGTCTACCTTTCAGTCTCGCCTCCTCGAGCGGGGTGCGTGGGATCGAGCGGCGCACCCCCGGCCTGGCAAGCGCTTCGTGGAGGTCTGGGAGCATGACCGCCATGACCTGCGCATGATGGTCAAGGGCAAAGAGCTCCACGGGAAGCCGGACGCTACCGCCACTGCGCCTGCGGCGTCTGGGAAGGTCGCGGCCTACTGCGCCTGGAGAGATTGGCGCCTCACACGGGGCAAGCACAAGCAAGCGAGGGGAGTTCTCGTACGCGCTGATCGCGGTAAACACATCCACACGGCGCTGGCGTCATTGCTGGACACCAAACGAACGGCATGGGCCGACATTCATATGGAGTTGACGATGGTGTGGACGCTCTGGCACCTGCCTCCCAACATGGCCATGACCGTGACCCTCCAAGTGAGGAAGCCTAGGCTGTGGTGCCTGTTTTTCACCATCGTGCACCAGCAGACCTTTTGTGAACGGCCTGGACGAGCCCCGCCCCGAGCGGGAGTAATAGCTGCCAACGACAAGGCGGTACTCACCAACGATGCCGTCGAGCAGACGGAATCGGCGCCGCACTCGATCGACACGCTCATCCCGTATTTGGCCCAGCTCATGACTTCGCTGGATGCAGTTCTTGACAGGTAGGTCATTCCCTTCATGCTCTGCAGCGACCTTGCGGATCCCATGGCACAGGAGCCCTGGTATGAGGAGCGGACGAACTGGGACATCTCCGACGGATTCATTCTCCAAATTCGACCTCGAGTGCGAGTTATGCCAGTTCGAGGCGCGGTCGCATCTCTCTCGGCTTCGCGGCGCTGGGCCTGGCAGTCTCGCTGACGATCGAGGTAGCGATACGAGTCTGCATCTGGCTGTCGACGTTAGTGTTCGGGATCGTGCTGGAGCTCGGGACTGCTGGCGATCGAGACAGTGCTGGAGCCGTTGAGTTTCACTGCCTCAAGGTCCTGCCCGAGGGCCCGCGGGTCGCTACCTGCAAGGCCTGCAATGTTTTTGCATAGTGTGGTTTGCGCGACGATTGCGAGCTCTCGCATCTGAACGAGGTGTCCGGCCAAGCGATCGCTGCAGAACACGAGCGCCTTAATCAGCGATTTTCTGAATCTGTTGGGATATTGCCACTTACCGCTTCACTCTGGCATGTTCACGCTGCTGGCCGCAACGTCCGCGAGCTTCAAACACTTCGCGAATGAGAGTGTCGCGCTGCTCATGCTGCTCCTGCTTCCCATTCAGCTGGCCGGCACTCGTCGGATGGCCAGCCGCCTGCATCCCAGGAAGAACCGGCTGGCAACAACGACCAGGGCCACAGCTACGTCCTAGCGGAGGGCACGGTTGAAGGTTTCGGCGAGGCTCCCGCCTTTCTCCAGCCTGCAGCTGCGCCTCGCGATCACCATGCTGAACCTGTCCGTCGCGTTTGCCAGCGTTGCTACGACCACGTCAACAACTCCAGAGGCACGGGAATTCAGCCCCCGCCTCGGGACAGCGGAACGGGGATTCAGCTCCCGCGCATAGATGCAACCTCGACGCTTTTGACTTGTGCAGCATTTCCGGCCCCAACGGCACCGACTCCACTTACTACGGCACCCTCAGTGAAAAGTACTTCGGCACTTTCGGCTCCATCGTCGGCAACTATTGGTACTACGGCACCGTCGGGGTCAGGTTCCTCGAGTTCGGCTGCGGCTCTTCCTGATGGAGCTGTGCATGAAGATCTTCATGTTGGAGAGGCACGCGACGATGCCCTCCCCGACGGCCTTCCCGACGCTGGTGGTGCTGTGCCCGTCCACGACGCCTGCGATAACCTTCAGCCCCTTGATGGTTAACCACAGCTGGATCACGATGGCGATGCACCTGTCGTGGGAGCCGTACCAGTTCGCGTTGATTGTGATGTTCTGCAACCAGCTGGCGCCCCGCGCCGGCAGGATCCTAGTGGCGACGATGCTACGTATGGTTTTGCACCTGTTCGCAGTGTGTACGAGGGCCTTCAGCATGGGGTGGTCAACGGCAGTTGGGTCGGGAGGGAGAGGATTCTACCGATGGTGCTGTTCCCAATGCCACGGCGCCTCCGGGTTCGTTGGCGACCTCGGCCTCGTCGGCAGCAGATTCGAGTTCTGCGGCTCCTCCAGCTTCGAGCTCTTCGCGTGGTACTCGACACGGTACAGCACATGACGGCGGTTCTGTTCGGGCAGCTGCTGCGGCTTCTGTGCGTGACCCTCCACCTGGGGCTATCTTGCGAGCATGGCTGTGCGTGGTGCTCCATTACTCTGTCGTGCTGATCTGCTCCGCCTGTGATGTAATGACCAGTTCCGTGCAACTCTGGCTGACGACCTGACTCGCCCCTGGTGGGCCGATGGCGAAGATCGTGCTGACCTCCCCCTCCTCGCAGATGTTGATGTGCTCCCTGGTGAAGTTGGCGTCTGCTTACAAAGACGACTTCGAGTCCACCGTCGTGGGCTCCTCCATCCTGTCCGCCGCCGCGGACGCCCACTCGTCGCACGCCGTGGAGGGCCTCCGCCAGCCCTCCGAAGGGGTGCAGGACTGCAGGGCGACTGACGTGCTCGGCCAAGAGGCGCAGAACCCGCTGAGAGGCGGGAGCGCGCGCCCCGCCGCCTGTGGCTAGGCGGCCCCCCGAGTCGATCGCTCCTCCTCCTCCTCCTCCTCCTCCTCCTCCTCCTCCTCCTCATCCTCCTCTTCCTCCTCCTCCTCTTCCTCCTCCTCCTCCTCCTTCCTCCTTCCTCCCTTTGGGCTCGCCGCCGAAAGAGAGCCCCAGGGTGGTCCAGTGGTGGCATCTTTGGGCATGCTATGCCATCCGTGCGGAGTCCGAGCGCCGCGCTCCCGAGGCCCTTGTTCATTGTCTTGCTGGTCGGCGCGGGCCCTCGCACACCCTCCCCCTCCCCCACGCCATGGAGTAGATCTTGGCTGTTTGGGGCGCCTTTTCCAGGCAGGTGGTGTCTCACCCAGAACAGACGCACTGCGCCAAACAGTCGCGGTAAGCAAAGGTCCGGAGCCAGACCCCCCCATTTCTTCCCCCCCTTGTCCGCCCAGTGTCGAAACGCCGAAGGCATGAACTGGGCCAATGTCGAAACCCCAGTGTCGGAACCCCGACGTCTTCCCCCCCTTGTCCGCCCAGTGTCGAAACGCCGAAGGCATGAACTGGGCCAACGTCGAAACCCCAGTGTCGGAACCCCGACGTCTTCCCTCCCCTTCCGCCCAATGTCGAAACCCCAATGTCGGAACTCGGGGCTGGACAGAACCCCCAACAGTGACACGTCGATTAGTGAATTGTCCGTTTTCGGTTCTCGAGAGGGCGCCGTGGCCGTTATTTTCCAGGCTTGCGCCCGCCAGGTTTGGGCCTCAGGTCGTTTTCACTAAACCACGTTTTACTAAAGGGGGGTCTGTCCATCCCCGAGGAACGCCCAATGTCGAAAACAGTCGCGCAGGCACGAACTTATCGGAGCTCCGCACTCCTCTCTTGGAGATCGGCGCTGGGCCCCCCCTTGCGGCGCCGGGGGCGGCGCCGGCCTCTCCGCCGCGGGGGGCTCCCCGCGCGGATCCGAGAGATCCGCGGGGAGCTTTGAAGGTTTGTGCTTGCACAGCTGCTTCATCAGGGGCAAAGGGGCGACAAGATGATTAAAGGGGGAGGAGGGGGAGGAGGAGGAGGAGGAGGAGGAGGAGGAGGAGGAGGAGGAGGGAGAGGAGGAGGAGGAGGAGGAGGAGGAGGAGGAGGAGGAGGAGGAGGAGGAGGAGGAGGAGGAGGAGGAGGGGCAAATTCAGTCAGGGGCAAAGGCACGGGGGGGGCAGGCTCAGGGGGGTGGAGGAGGGGGGGACATCGACTTCCAGTCGCCCGCTCCTCGCCGACGAGTGCCCGACAGCCCACCCAGACCGGGAACGCGCGGTCTCGCCATCGGGGGCCACTCGCCGATCCATCTATCGGCGAAGTGCATCCAATGCCAGGTCAATGCCCTCCCCTGAGTTGGCCCCTCCCTATGGATCCCCTTCAGCCATGAAAGAAAGTCGCCGCAATCGGGAATGGACAGAGCACAGAGGGATACCAACAGCAGTTTTTGCTGTCCGTTTTTAACCGGACTCGCTGTCGGTGTCGCCGCGGACGTGGTCAGTTTGAGACGGGACTCGCCTGCCCAACGGCAGGCCGCTGTCGGTGTCGGACACCAGCTTCTGCTGGGCATCGTCCCCATTTTGGTCCGTGACCGTTGTCGCCGATGCATCGGCGATGCGGCGTGATCCTTCGACTCCATTCGGGAGGCCGTCAGGCGAGAGAAGACCGGACGCAGCTGATTTTGCCCCCACCTCGCTGGTGAAGCAGCGGGGAGAAAGGGGACCCACACACCCGATGACTCTCTTTTTCCAGCGCGCGGCCCCAAAGGTCCCGACCCCGTCCCCAGGGGTGGTTCTTCGCCGTGGATCACTGTTGGATCGTCCCGGGGCCCAGTAGCGGGCCGCAGGGGCCGCAACCTATGGCAAATGGCCAGGTTGAAAACACCAGGTCGTCGGAGATGTGGGTCCCCAGCTGCGCCGCCTGCTGCCAGCGCAGGTCAGCCTCGCAGCATTCGTTCTGATACCCAAAAGTTGTTGGCACCTGACCGCGCAGCGTTGCGAGTGGGGCGTGATGGGCATCACCGCGGTTTTCGCGATCCCCTCACCCCCTCCGCGTCGCACAGGGGCATTGTTGCTGTCCTCGCCGTCTTCTCTTCCTCCTCCTCCTCCTCGTCCTCCTCCTCCTCCTCCTCCTCCTCCTCCTCCTCCTCCTCCTCCTCCTATTTGGTCTTCCCCTCCCTGGCAATCCACATGAGACTGCTTTTTACCTAACAGCGAAGACTGATAGGCTTCTAGTTGACTCAAAAGAGCTCACAGATCACTCCACAGGGGGGTCCGGGCGGGTGCCGGACAGGGTGCCGCAGAACTCATTTTAAGCCAACAGTCACACACTTCGTGCTCTTCGACTTCCCAGAACTCCATTCCCGGGCCACATTCTGAATGCCCGGAGCCAACTGTAGGCCACTTCGTGCTCTTCGATTTCCCAGAACTCCATTCCCGGGCCACATTTTGGATGCCCGGAGCCAACTGTAGGCCACTTCGTGGTCTTCGAGTTCCCAGAACTCCATTCCCGGGCCACATTTTGAATGCCCGGAGCCAACTGTAGGCCACTTCGTGCTCTTCGAGTTCCCAGAACTCCATTCCCGGGCCACATTTTGAATGCCCGGAGCCAACTGTAGGCCACTTCGTGTCTTCGAGTTCCCAGAACTCCATTCCCGCCCGGGCCACATTGAATTCTGAGGCAGGCTGCTGTGAGGCAGGCTGAGGCTGAGGCAGGCTGAGGCTGGTGAGGCAGGCTGAGGCAGGCTGAGGCTGAGGCTGAAGCAGGTGAGGCACACTGATGAGGCACGCTGATGGCTGAGGGCAGGCTGAGGCTGAGGCTGAGGATGATGCAGCTGAGGGCTGAGGATTGGAAAAAAGGTTGAGGCTGAGGCTAAGGTTGAGGCTGAAGCTGAAGCAGGCTGAGGCTGAGGCTGAGGCAGGCTGAGGCTGAGGCGTAGGCAAGCTGATACTGAGGCAGACTGAGGCTGAGGCTGAGGCAGGCTGAGGCTGAGGCAGGCTGAGGCTGAGGCAGGCTGAGGCTGAGGCTGAGGCTGAGGCTGAGGCTGAGGATGAGGCAGGCTGAGGCAGACGCTGAGGCAGGCTGAGGCTGAGGCTGAGGCAGGCTGTGGCTGAGGCTGATGCAGGCTGAGGCTGAGGCAGGCTGAGGCTGAGGCTGAGGCTGAGGCTGAGGCTGAGGCTGAGGCTGAGGCTGAGGCAGGCTGAGGCTGAGGCCGAGGCTGAAGGCAGACTGAGGCTGAGGCAGACGCTGAGGCAGGCTGAGGCTGAGGCTGAGGCTGAGGCTGATGCAGGCTGAGGCTGAGGCTGAGGCTGAGGCTGAGGCCAAGGCTGAAGGCAGACTGAGGCTGAGGCTGAAGCAGGCTGAGGCTGA